TGTAGCGGGCGGTCGCGTCAGGGGTCATACGAGCAGCTTTTGGCACAATGACGTCAGACATTAAAATTTGATTAACAAATCAGCGTTGATGTTTCTAGTAGGATACCCACAGTTCCGTGCATCGCACGCAAAGAACTTGCTGCAATATACCGTTTTATTGGCTAATCCCTCACATCAAGAAGAACACTCTTCTAGTTCCTAGTGTAGTAAAGACAAGTAAAACGAATGTTGAACTAAAAATAGGATCCGTGTTTTAGTCAGATTGTGGCTCTGTGGTGGCTTATGTCATTAAAACAATCCTTTTCATTGTTCTGCTCCTATTGGGTTACTGAAAATGGATATAAGCCATACATGGTGCTGTGAGAGAGAGAGGGATGGTGTCTAACGTCCACTTGACACAAACTAGGTCATTTCGGGACTAACACATGGTTCAATTTTATTTCATTAATTCGCTTGCGCGTAGGGGTCTTTAGCAGTGGGAGGAAACCGGAGGACCCGGAGAAAACCCACGAGGTTGGACAGGCGACCCTACTCCTTGTCACGTACAACTGGGGAATTTAAACCCCGCCAGTTGATTCAATGACAGACCGTATGATACAGCGCACAAGTGCTATCGAAAATTGCACCTTGATCATTACAGCAGATGTATTTAGCCAAATAATATAATTGCAAAGTAATTGCTGAAACCTCTAAACCTGTGTTAAACTTATTGTTTTCCTGATGGTGTTTTATTTTATAAATTGTTGAGATTTTGAAAAATGTTGTCTATTTCCAGCTAGTTAATACGAATATGAAATTGATCGGAGAGATTAGCTGTTTAGTTGTATTGAGAAATCTATGCGAAATCGATTCTAAAACATTCAGTCTTCTGTTTTATAAATATTTTAAATTCTCTCAAAAATAAATGATTAAAACGTATTTCTTTGTTACACACTATGCGAAATGATTAAACCGTTGTTTTTTTGCGTACACACTATGCCTACAATGTATACCTTTAGTATATATTATACGAAAAAGTGAAAACAAACTGATAAATATTTCTGATAAAATATCCGGTATTCTGTCTAACCCGTTTGTATCAAGTCAATTTTCAAATATAAGATAAACTAAATAAACTAGTCACTAATCTGAAATAATACGTCTTTAAAATGACTCCATCTGGTCTGGTGAATAATTCATATCGTTTCCAAATCAAAGTATCGAAAAAGTATATATTTGAGAAATCCACAAAGCCTCATTTGTTTTTAAATCTCTTAAACAAGATTTGCTTTTTGTCGTCCTAGTCTGAACAATAGGAAAGGTCAGTCAAGCTATCGTGTTAATAATGTATTGACAAGTAAAATATATATTAGATCATAGGAATACCTACCATTAGTATCAAATTCAGCAAAGAATTCGTCTAGTTCTTCTTCACTCTCAATTTCAAGCAATTCTGCAACTTCTTCACGGGACAACTCACCGTCTTCGAAGCTAGCTTCGGCATTTTGAGCCAGAAAAACTACAGCTACGGTTATCAACAATAAACACTTCATTCTGTAATACAATTATATAATATTACATTAGTTGATAAAATCATATAACATTACACTAGTTTATAATTATATTACTATCAATGGTTATTTTTCGGGCACGCAAATATAATACACACGGTCAATCGTTTTTACGTCCCATCTAGTTCTTCGTCACTGTCAATTTCAAGCAAATCTGCAACTTCTTCACGGGACAATTCACCGTCTTCGAAGCTAGCTTCGGCATTTTGAGCCAGAAAAACTACAGCTACGGTTATCAACAATAAACACTTCATTCTGTAATACGATTATATGATATTACATTAGTTGATAAAATCATATAACATTACACTAGTTGACAAAATCATACCCTATTATTACAATGGTTGACCAAATCATATTATATTACTCAGGGGTTGGATGTCCGAATATCATATGGTCTGTCATTAAGTCAACTGGCGTGATTTCGATTCCCCGGTTGTACAGCATTGGCCAACTAAGTTCTCATCAGATTGTCAGTGATGCAGGACGGAGGGCCTGACAAAGACAACTGTCTAGTCGTTCGGATGGAACGGAAAACCGAGGTTTTAATTTCTATTTTTATCAGCACAAAATAATTCGAAAATTTTTATAAATAGAATATTGAACAGAATTGCATGGGGAATTTGTTTTTATATCTGTATCTCCGCAAACGGGTTCGCACAGTTTGAATATGTCAAATATTAAGTTTAACATCACGGCAAAGATCCACAAGGTATCCATATCTCTTTGAAACGAAATGATTCGGATTCAATTTCTACAACAAAATAAAAAAAATAAAAATCCTAAAAATTAAATGATATGTAATAGAATATTAATGTTACCTGTACACTGTATATCTTTCACTATACTGATAATAGCCTACCTGTTCATAGTTATATAGTAAATAAGGTGATATTCATATAATTATTCTATCAAGTTTAAATGATTTTTGATAACCATCTTTATTATGTGGTGTTTTATCGTAAATAGATCTCGATAAATGTGTTTCCCTATTCGGCTTAGAAATAAAAGGGTAATTCAGGTTATCGGAGATCATCTATTGTCACTTCTGAAAACAACTTGTTATATTCATTCATGCGTTAATTGGTTATCGGGAATATTTGTTAAATGTAATTAATATTGTAGAAAGTGTGGACATAGGTTGTCATGACGTGGCACAGAACACGTTGCATGGATGGTGGCAATCTGTTTCACAACGGTAATGCGAAAGCCTTCTTTTAGCTCTGTAAAAGATGACCGACCTTTAAACATACATTATGCAAGAGCTAAATCTGCCTATTACAGGTCTTTCTTTAGGTCTGAAATGTTATCTAACTTATTAATTAGACATTAATTAACTTATCCAGACCATAATCAACTCTCGATGGCATTGCTAGCCTGCGATATTTATTGTATTAGGTTCCGATTTCCTGGATAATCGAGACTATGTTTTTTTATTGTACGGACTTTAGTAATGATGATCGAGGCTAGACCGAAAATTCAATCGCTAAAATCTCGGTTCATACTGGATCAATTTGACTGAAATTTTCAGCAAATTGCCTTTACAATATCTAGTTTCTAACTATTATCTTATCTCCCATAATGTATCTTTAAGTTAGCGTGCAGTATAGGACTAGGTATGGCGGCAAATCATAAGGCGTCGATAGCATGTGCGTTGTTTATATCGGACGTATTAAACTGGTTCGGACAGCATTGAGCCCTTTCACTATTCAATGTACCTAATATTTTTTTATGCAGTTATATCTTCTAACACTTTTATTTTTTTTCTTCATAATTTAAAAAAGATGTTGCTGAAGAATAAGGTTAATAATGAGAGCTAATTAACTCCCGAATATTAAAGTAGCCAAGTCTCTAACTCAATATGATCAAAGATTTTCGACATTGAAAACACGAATTATTTGTCAATTCAAATCAACACTGGTCTTGTGATCTTACAGGGAAAAGATGGGCTTCTGATATCCAATGTTCAAGACAAAATAAACATTTTACTATTGGTACACGAATCGTGTACCATAATGCGTTTCAGCGCCATTTGGAACAAGGTACTCAAAGAACAGGGCTAGACATATTCCACAAGTCATGTCAAATGGTGTCGCTATATTCTTATCTGGAGAACATGCGCAATAAATACCAGCGGTGTAGACTGGAAAAACCAGACGCTAAAGATTGCCATTCACATGAGACCTCTGGCATATTTCGCCGAACATAACTAATTAGAAATTACAGTAAAAACAAAAACGATTGAATGTAAATTAGTTTATATAGAAGTTATATTTCAATAATTCGCTTGCGCATGGGGGTCTTTAGCAGTTGCAGGAAACCGGAGAACCTGGAAGAACCTCTCGAGGTTGGACAGGCGACCCCACTCCTTGTCACGTACAACCGGGGAATCGAAACCACGCCAGTTGATAAAATGACAGACCTTATGATACAGCGTACGCGTGCTAACCATTCGCCCCCCCCCCCTTACCACCCAAGTTTCTTCAGCTATTCAGTTATATCTCAATCTCGTATCTGTTAAATTTTTTTATTAATCCCGGATTAATTATTGACCCTCGAAACGGACCCCCCGTCTTGCACAAACGCGAATCCAATGCTCATTTTTTTTTAAACAATATTTTATTCAGAAATTGAAAGGGATTGAGGAACAGGCATAGCCTATATGACCCCTCTCCTAAATGCAAGAATTGATATGAATATGTAAAAGAAATAAATGAGTAAACAACAAAACAATAAAATGAATACTTAATCATCAACATTTTATATATACATATTTACACATTGACTACGCCGTTGTTCATGTTTGCATTTTAATCGATATAGATGTTACACGTATTGATCTTAAAACCTTCTGCTGCTGTCAAGAAACGTGTGGACCTTTTCAAAGATTGCTAAAGAAATATGACTGCTGCTTACACCGTATAACAGATTATGAGTATTAATAAAATTCGGTGGTAAAAGATTTATAGATATTTTGTGTGCATCTGAATGTAAGGAGCAATGTAGAAGAAAATGATCGGTATCTTCGAAGGAATGACCGCAATCACACTCTGGGCTGTCCGAAATATGCCTTAAGAATTTATGCCCATTTAGGTCACTGCAAGAGAGACGAAGACGACTATGTAATATTTGATTTTTACGTTTGCCAAAGTTGAAACAAGATGGTATATTTTTTATCTTTATCAGTTATTTTAGTTTTAAATTTACTTATAGAGGTTCAATGAAGCCCGGTTGTTATTGTTATAATAAATTATTTGATCGATATATATTAATCGCAATGACAAGTTTGCAGTTAGTTATCAATATATATTTATCGAAATGACAAGTTTCCAGTCACTACCATTTACTGAACTATAATATTTACCAATATGACCAACACTACGGATGTAAAACAGTTAATTATTTTTCAACGCCTTTTTCATTTATATTATACGACTCTATACCTGTTTTGTGGACTGTAGTATTGCGTTGTTCAATACAGAAAAAGGTGGGTTATTATTTTGCTCTGTTATTCATATTTGCAATCCCTGGGTAGGACCCACAGTGGTTCGATGGGTAAGAAGGTTTCGCCTACGAGTTTGAAGTTGGCCGCAACAGCACCTGAGGATTAACCAGCCTGGGTGGCTGGAAAGAGAAGGTCGTAAGCCAAATAACAGTAGCCCGTAGCGTCGTTGTTGGGATACAATTTCCCTAATGGCAGAGTGCATAGTGTATGTCCGTCTTCATTTCCTGGTTGGGACTGAACAGTAGGACGTTAAACCCCATCTCATTTCATTTCCGTATACCCAGTGAACCAATGGGATTAACACACTTTATTTTTTCTAATCTGGAAGAAATTTACCTACCTTTCTGAATCTTGATTTTGTAGATAGAACGCCAATTTAGTTTTATGTTTTCGTGTTTCTAGCTTCTTTGACACCGCTAATGAAGACGGATATACCTCGTACAATGTGCTATGAGGTATATTTTGCCCTGGCAGCGGCGCTACGATCTACATTTATATCGAACTCCACCTGTCAAAGGCTATTTTGCGTATAGGACCAGGTGTAAACGGGACCTCGGGTTTTTGTCCCATCCGAACCGCTGACAAAGGGGAACTATGCCTGGAAGTTAACAATGAACTTTGTCGGTCAACACAAAGATCAATCAAGAGACCTCTAGATTAGCGACCCAACGTCTTACTCACTGAGCCACCATGGCTCCCACTAGCTTTATTAATTACCGAATACACTTTAATACCGCTTTTTTTTAATTTATTTGTAAAACATGTAGATTAGAATGAAGTACCTTATCCTAGCAACTCTTGTGGTACTTCTTTTGGTTTCACCTGGTGATTGTGGGTGGACTAGAGCGATCAGAAGGGCTAGTGAAAGATTCGCAAGAACTCCAACCGGTCGATTTTTCAGATTGTATCGTGACCACCTTAATGGCAGAAGTATTCCGATAGATGATATACCATACGATGAGTAAGTATTAGTTAAATAATCGCTTTTTTTTCAATATTAGGGGCGTTGAGTTGGGCGGCAGAATGGTTTCGATTTTTCCCCGCATTTACTTGACGAAAAGTAGGGTCGTCAGTCCACCTCGTGGGGTTTTCTGCGTCCTGCAATTTCCTCCCACAGCTAAAGACCCATATGAACAAGCGAATTACGGAAATAAAATTAAACCATATATGTTCGTCCCGAAATGCCCTAGTATGTGTCAAGTGGGCGTTAAACCCCATTATTTTCTCTCCTCTCCAATCATGGGCTAAGTGGAGGTGACGCAATATTGCGCTTAGCAGGTCTTTAGATTCTTTCATATATTGTTGAGATGCTTGCACTCAATCAGAAAATTGCTTAACAATCAAACGAACTTGACAGTGTTCACATTCTCGTTGGTGATAAGGTGATAAACATATGAATTAACAATTCGTGAGCCTAAAAAATCACGCACACCCCTCCTGTTTCTGGGAGGAGAGAAGACCGTATTGAAGGTCATATCTAAAAGGGGCCGCGGGAAGTGAGACGCTCGATCCCAAGAAAGTTCAACGGGATTTTCCGGCGGCGTTCCCCCTTGACAGCAGTGCATCACGAAGAGTCTGGTAAGGGAAAAATTATAGTCGTTCGGATAGTACGGAAAACCGAGGTTCCGTGTACATATTGTCGTGCACGGAAAAGAAACCTACCGGATTCATTCACTTTATTTGAATTGTTCGTTTGTTTGTGATTTTTGTGTTTTGGTCTTGTCCATATATTTGTCTATGTTTAAATTATGTGTGGTGCAGTCTCCCTGCACTTACTATTAACATTTGGAATTCGATATAAGAGTAGGCCGTAGCGCCGCTGTCCTGGCTGAATTTCCCTCATAGCAAACTGCATGGCGCATGCCCGTCTTCATTACCCCAGTCTGTGCAAACAAATAGAACGTTAAACCCCATTTCATTTCTTTGTACCGCCGTTAACCTCGAATTCGTTACTTTTATGAACAACATAACCTGACCCACGTCAATGGATACTTCATTAATTGCATAAATGTTCTTTATTTTCAGATGAAGACACCGAGAATGGAAACTGATTTAAAAAACGGAAATAATCAGTTCAATGAATAAAACAATATAATTCCATTACTTCGTTGAAATATATTTAGCTATAAGTAATGGCGGGAGAAGTGCACGGAGTAGGATATGCATTTCTGCAGATACCTTTTTTTATTTGAGAATTTTGCATAGGTAATAAACTTCAGAGAGAGAGAAGGGGGGGGAGAGAGAGAAAGATAGATAAAACGGGAGAGAGCGAGTTGAGCGTCAATAATTCGCTTGTGCGGAGAAAACCTACGACCTTGGTCAGGCGATCCTATTCCTTGTGACGTAAAATCTTAGGATCGAAACCACATCACGATGACTCAGTGATACACCTTATGATTCAAAGCGTGCGCTTTAGATCACTACATAATGTTAAACGTCATTTAATTATATTTTCCTAAATAAAAGAGAAAGTGTATGAGGTATTCAGGCATATATGTATCACCCTCGACTTCCGAGGACCAAGACAAACAGATCAGTCGGAACCACTCAGGAGACTTGACTGCGCCTAAATGAAGTTTTTGATGGCCCGTAGTGATTTGCACATGTTCTACTGTGACTGGTCGCAGAGTTGACCCCCCAATGTCGCATAGTATGAGTTGAATGAGCCAATAGAAACTGGTTTAATACTTACGTGAAATGACTAAAATCATCATGGAGTGAAGCTAAATGAAATGAAATGGGGATTAGTGTCCTACTGTTCTGAGTTGACTGTTCTAATGAAGTCAGGACAATGTAGTGTGCCCAAATACACCAATTAGAAATTACATGCAAAGTTTTGTGTTTCGGGATCAAAGATATGGAAGTTGAGTACATTCTTAACTGAAGTCTGAAAATGCTTTGTGAACTCGGGGCCAGGAGAGCGGTGCTACGGTCTGCTCTTATTTCGAATTCCAACTGTCAATGGTGCACGCCAATGTGTACACAGCACCTCAGTTTTTCGTCCCTTGCCACAGTGTCTGTCCCGGGGGAATCACCCCGGGAAATCCCAGGAAAGAACACGGGACCTCCAAGCTAGCAAGCCGACGCATTACTCACTGAACAACTGCGACTCCCCATGTAAACTCCCAATGTCAAGTTACTGGTTGACATACGTACAGGTACGAATTTGGAAAAGGCTAAAGCTTTTTGTTAAGGCCAGCTCAATTTTCATCAAGGTCGCTTCGATGTAAATAAGGTTAGGGCTTGTCATTGCTAGGGTTGGGAATAGAGCTAGACCTGTTTACGTCTCGTGACCTTTGACCAAACTTGAAGTTGGTCTTATCAAATAGATCTAACCATTTGACCACTGTGTCAGACTGAAGAATGGGACCTCGAAATTTACGGGACCGCTGGTCTTAGTGTATAATAGTTCACTCGACAGACTCTGTTACCCTCGGCTGTATGACGGGAAGTGATATGTGCCTACACCTATACAATTGCGATGTGGCGACCGGTTTACTTAACAGTCAAACTTGTCGCATTTTTAAAAAACCAGCGGCTGCCAGGCAGTATACGCCCACATTTTCGAGAGATGGATAGAGAACAAGCTAACAAGAAAGTGATTTTTCCTACTCTTCGAAGAGTATATAGAGTTTTCATTGTAAACGTGTCCATTGTTTAAAAAACATCGGCTAAACGTGAAAGAAAAACAGTTTCAGACACATAAAGCTTTTTAATTAAGATAAAACACTCTTCATGGGCGTCTTCATGGGCGAGGCCATTTGTAATCCGGGAACTTGAAAGTACTTCTAATGGCTGAATTTTTCATACAGCCGAGGCTAAATGTATGGCGGGGTATCAGGTTCGAAATGCGATCTGCGGTAGAAAGTAGAAAATAAAAAGCAAAAGAGAAAATTCTTATCCAAAATGGACATTTTCGTGTGGGAAACATATACCGCTCGTGCTTTTCAACCTAATACGTCCACCTTTTCAACTTTAAGTCGTAAATATTCTACTTTCAACAACATAATTTCTACTTTCAAAAACAGAATTTCTGCTTTCAATAATCAACTTTTGACATTCAACTTTCAACTTCAGATTTTCTACTCAAGATTAGGTATCAGGTTAAAAAGCACGAGCGGTATATGTTTCCCACACGAAAATGTCCATTTTGGATAAGAATTTTTTCTTTTGCTTTTTATTTTCTACTTTCTACTGCAGATCGCATTTTGAACCTTATACCCCGCCATATAGATGTAGGTTATTGGAGTCTGCTGGGGTTTGCCGAGTGTATAATAGTTGTGTCACTGCAATAGGTCTTTCTTACATGCGCTGTGGTCTTAAACAGCCGTTATCATCCTCAGATTTACTCAACTGTGTTTAAAACCACAGTGGGGGGAGGGGGTCCTTGGGGTACAGCGGGTCTACTAAGTAGAATAGTCTGGGACCTCTGTGCAACTAAATCTGACACTGCCCGATCATCTTTTATAGATCTCTGGTTGTAGGTGACATTCATTTAGCAGGTTCGGTGGTTTTATCGCGTCGTATGGACACATAAGCCACGATTTGCAGATATATTCTTTAAAAATAACTCATTACAAAACCCCAGACTGATAAACAATGATCGCAAGTGAAATTATGTGGGTGTGGACGGTCTGTAAGCGTAGCAAAATGGGGTTCCGAGAGCTTGTCACGGTTCCGACGGCCCTGAAATGGATACATTTTAGCTTTGAACATTATAAATTTTGTAGTATAAGCTTTACGTTAAAACCCGTAGCCAAACCCGCTCCCACCTACACTAAATTAAACATCCCACGTTAAGACCCTAACCCTTCCATACCCCTAACCACGAGCTAATCTTTATCGGGATTACCCTTATCTGACCCTAACCTCTTTCATAATATAAAATATACACAAAAAGAAAGGCTGAAATGAAATGAAATGGGGTTTAACGTCCTAATGTTCTGCTCCTATACTGGGCTAATGAAGACGGGCATACGCCATACAGTGCGCTATGAGGGAAATTTTGCCCGGGCAGCGGCACTATCGCCTACTCTTATAACGAATTCCAACTGCCAATGGATCCTTTACGTGCATTCCAATGTATACACGGGACCTCTGTTTTTCGTCTCATCCGAAGGACTAGACAGCGGTCCTTGTCAGGCCCTCCGTTCTGCACCACTGACAAGGGGAAACCACTTCGGAAAATCCAGATGAACTTTCTCGGCCAATGCAGGGATCGAACACCCGACCTCCAGGCTAGCGAGCCAGCTTCTTAAGGCTGACAATTAAACAATAAACATGCGGATTTTTGTAGCAGCCTACCATCTAATTAATAAATTTTTTTCCTTCCTTCCTTTGGATTATAGAAGTTTGGGTTGTTTGTGAAAAACAGAAAGCAACAATTTAGGAAGGTATCAAGTTTGATAATCTTTATTGATTCCAAATATTCCAAATGGAATTAGGAAAATATCCGATTATTCGTCAAGTTCATCGGCTGAAATAAACAAACACCAGTTAATTCTATTTTTTGTGTACAACAATATTTATTTTCATTGATTCAGATGTCATAGCCTGTATTTATTTTTTTAGGGAGAAGAGCTTTGTAAGTAAATTTATTTGTCCCTATGATGATTTGTGATCAATAAAATATGTTTAAATAAATTTATTTTCATTGATTAAGATTTCATAGCCTGACATAAATTTCGTTTCGTCATTTTCATTCTTATTTGTTTTATTATGTAAGTAAAAGAGGTATCAGCGTACTATAGACCTTTAATTGAGTAAGACGTCATCACCGCCATCTTGGAATTGTAATGTCATAGCAAAATCAATCGATGTCGATCGTACATGTATTGACAGGGCCCCCAAGATATGCAGAGGTTGTGGCCCAGTTCCAGGATACTTATATTATAAATACTTGCTTGCTTCTGGATCTATTTCAATATGTCGTTTAGCATACCCTTGCCAGGACTCGACCAGTAGGACTATTCGCAAAATCATTCAATCTTCTAGATAAAGTGCGCCCTGCTCTTCTCCAGAAACCGCATTCTCCTTGTGGAACCAACAATACGGCGACAAGAACAGCTATGATAACACACTTCATTCTGGAAAAGAGATATAGAGGAATGGGGTTTAACGTCCACTCCACACAAACTATGTCATTTTGTGACTATGTAACACTATTATATTGATAACAGAGATCACTTTCGTAAATATATGATTTACATGTACTTACATCAGGAACATAAACATAAACCAGCAACATAAATTAAACAGGAACATACATTATCACCCAATAATACATTCTACATTAGATATCGCTTGTGTGATATATTTCATAATCTACTGCGATATCTCCTTAGGAGATATCGCTTTACATGAATTTGCCTCAGGAGATATCGCTTTACATGAATTTGATTGGTCAGTTGAAAAGGAACTACTTTTTTTATTTTCAAAGAACAGTTCATTTCTTATTAAAAGTAACTTTTCTTAAATTAAAAATGAACTATTGTTATTCAATTGAAATTGATGAAAACACTGGGTCAATATACATGAATTTGCCTCAGGAGATATCGCTTTACATGAATTTGATTGGTCAGTTGAAAAGGAACTACTTTTTTTATTTTCAAAGAACAGTTCATTTCTTATTAAAAGTAACTTTTCTTAAATTAAAAATGAACTATTGTTATTCAATTGAAATTGATGAAAACACTGGGTCAATATAAAGGACTTTGCAATGGTTGAATTGCTGTCAAAAAATGATGTATTACTACGCCGTAATGTTCAGTAAAAGTGAAATCTACAGCAAAGAATTATATTTATCTATTTGTGCATGTAAGAAGGGATTGGGTGATAAATAAAATATCAACACTCGTTGATAAAGTAAAAAAAACTCGGCAGAGCCTCGTTTTTTGTTACTTTATCAACTTGTGTTGATATTTTTTGATATCAAAAAAGACTGGTAGGAGATTCTATATTTAAACAGGAACTAAACTACATCATGAACATAAACAATAACATCAGCACAGTACATGAATAGTTTTAAGATAACCATCACTACAGAAAGCACATGGTCTTATACATCCTCGTCTAGCTGATCTGGGATCGAGATTGAAAAT